TTTAGTTCCATTTGGAGAAATCTTTCTAAATATGACAGATTCTACAAATAAAATCAAAATTGGGCTAATAGATTAATCAAATCTATTAATTAAATCAAATTACACATGAAGATATGAAAAACATCCATATATTTCATCAAATAAGAAATATAATTTTAAATGGCTTTGTATTTGGAATTATGTTAATTTTAATTAAATCTGTTCTAATCTGTTTTAGCTGTATTGGTAAGCAACAAGCACAAACAATAAGAAAATATATACATTCCAAATTTCCATTTAACTTCAGAATCATATTAATATATAAAATCTAAGTTATTGTTATAGTTCCCCTGTACAGGTCTTCCATGAGCTATATAGATTTCTCCTAATTACACGATTTATCTCCACCATGTTTCATTTTTCTATCAAAGTCAAAGAAAACCAAGTCTCACTCTCTGCTTTTACCATTTACCTCAAAAGTAGTTCATACTATTCCTGGCAAAATTGTTACGCCTATTAAAAATAATACCTGGACAGCTTCCAGCACAATTTCTGGTATATATACTGCACTCATGAAATGCCACCACTGATCATCTACTCTTTGTTCTCCTTCTTGCTGTCATCTTACACTATAACTCTTTCTATATCATGTTATAATGTTTAAATGTCTTCTTGTTTTTGGCTCTCAAAACTTGTTTTTGGGGCTTTCCTGGTGGCGCAGTGGTTAAGAATCCGCCTGCCAATGCAGGCGACACGGGTTCGAGCCCTGGTCCGGTTAGATCCCACATGCCGCGGAGCAACTGAGCCCATGCGCCACAACTACTCAACTACTGAAGCCCGCGTGCCTAGAGCCCGTGCTCTGCAACAAGGGAAGCCACCGCAATGAGAAGCCCGTGCACCGCAGCAAAGAGCAGCCCCCGGGCTTCCCTGGTGGCGCAGTGGTTGAGAGTCCACCTGCCGATGTAGTCGACACGGGTTCGTGCCCCGGTCCGGGAAGATCCCACACGCCGCGAAGCGACTGGGCCCATGAGCCATGGCCACTGAGCCTGCGCATCCGGAGCCTGTGCTCCCCAACGGGAGAGGCCACAACAGTGAGAGGCCCGCGTACCGCAAAAAGAGTAGCCCCCGCTCGCAGCAACTAGAGAAAGCCCGCGTGCAGCAACAAAGACCCAACACAGCCAGAAATAAAGTAAATAAAATAAATTTTAAAAAAAACAAACTTGTTTTTGTTTTCAATTACCAATTTTATTTAATCTGTTTTAATTTGTTCTCGGGTCTACCTTTTCATATCTTCTCTTTCTCCCACCTTTAAATTCATTTTGCTCTTAAGGATTCCTCTAAAAGCCTCTTCTGTCATTTTCAGACTCCTCTCCTTATGTTCCTCCTTCTATATGTCTTCCTGTCTATAAATAAAAATTCTTTGTCACTGTTTCAAAACTTAAAAAACGTTACCTTAGATTTGCCATTGCTGACAAGGCTAAGGTAGGGGATGGGGAAGTAGCAATAGTGGGAGGAAGAGATACAATTTCCTTAAGAAATCTTGGCATAAATGTCAAAATCGGGGGAACATTGATTAGTTGAGAACCAAAGTGCTAAATGCGTAGAAAGGCTACAAACGGAGCACTATTACGTGCTCCTCTCTTTGAATCTTTAGAGAGTTATGAGCAGTACATAGGCAGAGGGAAAAGGCAGTGACAGTGCTGTCTGCCAACTATTTCTATGTCTACTCCTTTTAGTCACAGGGTAGAACTAACTCCCACCTTGGTCTCCCTTCTTCTTCTGGTCTCACTGTGGTAGATGGGAGCATGTAACTAGTCTTGGCCAACGAGTTCTGAATGAAAGTGAAACACGTCATATGTCATGACCAGACAAGAGCATTAAAACTGCCAATGTGAGACATTTCAGAGCTTTCTTTTCTCTTTCACATGGTAACTAGCACAGCCTTAGATGCTTGCTGTTCTGTCAGTTTAGGATCTTGAGTGACTATGATGAGTAGAGGCTCCCTGCCAACCATGGTAGACAGAGAACAGGAACAAGAAGTAAACCTTTGTTATTCTAACCCCTTGTCTGTTACTGCAGCTTATCCTGACGGATAAATCTTTGCCAAGAAAAATGCAAAGCACTTTCTCACTGGAAAAAGAGACATATTAAAGTTCAACAGAAAAGGAAGTAATCAGAAGGTCACTAGTACCTTCCCATTAATAAACAATCAAGAAAAGTATTAGAATGATGTGATGAGGCATTAATTTCATGTGTCAACTTGCGGGGTGTTTGGGGATGAGATTAACACTTAAATTGGTGAACACTAGGTAACGGAACTGCCCTCCAGAAAGTGTCTCAACTAATTAGTTGAAAGTCTGAGCAGAACAAAAAGACTGGCATCTCCAAGCAAGGGGGAATTCTCCAGAAGACTGCCCTCTGGCTTCATCTGCACCATCAGTTCTGGTCTCCAGCCTGACTGCTTTTGAACTAGGACTGGAACTGGAACACTGGCTCTATAGCCTTCGAACTCTAACTGCACCACTGGCTTCCCTGGGTGGCAAGGCTGCCAGCTGCCAGGCCACATCGCAGATTTGGACCTGCCAGCCTCTGTAATCATGTGAGGCAATCGCTTACAATGAAGTTCCTCACACACACACACACACACACACACACGGCCTGCTAGTTTTGTTTCTGTGGAGAACCCTGACTAAAGACTACAACTTTCAACACATAAAGGAAAGCAAATGTATAAATAAGCAGATAGAATTGTTATATTTAATAGCTGGAGTATTTGTTCCTATTAATCCTATTAGACACTTCTTGCTTTACCTAAAGGATGTGTTATTTCAATAAAATATTACTATATAGAACATATAAAGTATTACCACATAGTCTACATACATGTTCTCTCAGTTACCAATCCTTCACCATTATCTAATGGTGACTATTCAAAGTGAGGGTACCCTACCCTAAATATACCCTGAAATACCCTGAAAAGCCTATAAAAAAAATCAAACATTCTAGTAACAAAATGTTGCAGGAAGTAGGAATTGTTTATAAGTGGGTCAGGTTACACTGAAAATGAAAAAATCTTGAGATTTAAAGTACAGCAGATTAGGGAGACCTAAAAAAGAGATCTGATTGTAGGTGATAACACAACTCTTCCTATTCTTTGCCCACAGGTAAGAAAGATACATGAGTTTTTAAACTCTTCCCTTTGAGCTGTGTACTGGTAATTATGCCATTGTCACTAAGCTACAAATCCATCATCTTACATTCCACCTGCTTTGTGATGCTGGAACAGTCATTCTACAAACTGTATTTCCTTTTCTCCAGCTACCTCACTCTTGGGTTCATAAATAGTGGGTACTAAATGGAGCCTGGAAAGTTGAAAGAGTGAAAGGGGGACTGATGCCTTATTCCTTATTTTTTTACTGGCCAACAGTTCTTAACTATGGCATTCACAGTTGGTTTCTTTCTTCAGCTTATTTTTGGCAATACCAGAACCAGCCTCTTCATGGCTGCTCAGTGATAGCAGCACTGGCTTAGGACTCTTTCCTCAGAAGTCTCAGACCCGGCACTGCAGGACCTCTTCTCCAAAACGTCTAGTTTCTGATAACTCTAATCTCTTCCCTTTGTTCCCACAGAACCAGGGAAGTAGGTGCTTCCTGAAGTTACTATCTCTGAATTACATCAGTGTCCCCCTTTTGTTTTTTGAGTTCTCTAATACCTATTTAACAATCTCCTTGTATTATAGTCTCTCTTTTTAAACACTGGTTTCTGACTGACACAAGCTCCACAATTAAAAATAAAAACACAAAATACTGTTAAAATTCTTTTTCAAATCATGAAATATGCTTTAAAAAAAGATAAAGTTCCTTGAAAAATATGTACACTCTACTTGATGCTACTGTGCTCTGAGATTTTACCATCAGATTATTAGCATTCAATTGCATTACAAAATAAAAGTTCAGGGTAAATTTATTATCTAGAAGTGGCGTTTATCACTAATTCATTACCTCCAATGTAGTTCTCTACCTCGGAGATAAGGATGGGGTCTTAGACACATCTTACCAACTGCTTTCATAGAGAATGAGACCTGCTTTGAAGAATTGTATATATTATGATATTTAGGTTTTAAATGAACATTATGATTTATAAGACATACCCTGAAATTCTATGCCTCCAATTCCGATATGGGTCATATAAACTTTCACAAAATGCCAAGGCATGGATCACAAATTCTTCGATAGATGTCTGATCTGCCAATTCCTTCTCTTTTTTTTTGCTTTTTAACTGAGAATTTAAACATAAAATTATATGTACTTAAAAATGTTAAGCTGTATAACATACTGACCAACATCATTAAAAGACTACATGTTTCATTCGTCTAATAATAATAACTCATTTTTATTCAAATAAGCCTAAGTTCCATTTGAGTGTGTAAAGGGTCAGTTAATCATATGGGTTGGATATAACCTCTCAAATTTTAAATATTTCCTAGGAAGGATTTCAAATGGATAGACAAACGTCTTTCCAAAAAAGATGATGCTTTCAATAAGAGGGTTATTTGATGAATAAATAATAAATACATAAAATGGCAAACTGTGTCATTTAAAATAGCCATTTATAAAAACTTCAACTTTTAAATTAAAATAACAAAATGTATTAATAATTGCTTGTTTACTTTCAGATAATTGCATAAGATGCCTGAAATATATAAGTACCCACTGATAATTTTAATGATCTCAATTATTACCTCCTCTGAAAACATTCAATTTTACTATGATATTTAAAAAAATAAAAGCTAGTTACTCTCAGTAAAACAACAAAAAGGAATATATTAATTCACACCTACTTGTTGAATATAGAGTGTTGTCATAGTGATAACATGATTGATATACGAGCAAGTCCCAATTTCTTCTACATTAGATAGATTTCTGTGAGAAAAAAAAAGAATAGCCATATATTTATTACATATGAATAATGAGAAAAATGTATGCTCATGAATTCAGGTTGGTTTTCGGAACACATGTTGGCAAATGAAATACAAATGACAGTCATTAAAACTTAAAATCAATATGGTTATATAACTGCTTTCCCACTGAGAATGCAAAACACACCTCAAGCACCATTTAACTACTATAAACAGAGAACATTTAAGAAAGACATGCCAATTAGCATTTGTTTATCATAAAAAATTGGAAAATATCACAAAGTAGAAATAGAAAAGAAAAAGTCACTAATATTCTTACAACCCCAACGTTAGCAACTGTATACATTTTGGATTATTTCTTTCCAGGTTTGTTGTTATTTTCCTATGTACTTTTTTAGCTTGGCTTTTTGTACATATCGTTGCCTTTATAACTCATGTGGTGCAGTTTTATAGTTATCATCTTGCTTTCTGAAATTATAGTTCCCCTTTTAGACTCATAATATATCTCCTCATCTATATTAAAAAGTCTTGAGAGAAGGGTGGGCATCTATACATACTCCAAGAGGGCATAGTGCATGCCTTGTTTAAAGCAGTGTGTCAACAAGTGCCTGGTGTTTAATTAAAATATGGCCCTCATTTTTATTCCATTTTTGATAAGACTGAGGTATGACACGTAAAATGCTAACATGTACTCATACTAATATCACCAGTCTTTTTCTTGGCATACTAAAAAAAATTCTGTTAAGACAAAAAACTCTGTGTCCTGAGACATTGTGACCTTGAAAAATACTTTATATTTTAAAATCCAGTAAATGCTAAAGGAACAGGAAAAATTAACTAAATTAATGAACTTAGTGTAAGAAGTCAGAATGGCATGACATCTTTGAGAAAGCAAAGAGTAAAGGCAGAGGTAAAATTCAAAGCCCCTGTGGAGGATTCTGGGAAAATAGCCAAGTGGGAAGAACCAGGAATCTGTCTCCCAACCTAGAAAACGGTCACACTGCCAAAATCAGTTTGACGTAACTATTTTGGAACCCTTGAGTCTCTGTTGAAGGCTGGCAACTTCTATGGGAAAATCTGGATGACAAATTGCAATTAATCTCCTAAATTCTGCTCAATTTCAGCTATCAGCATAGTAGCACCTATCAATCTGCCACCCCCAGACATGTGGTAAGCAGCTGTGCACATGGTCCAGAAGCAGCTTGCTAACAGCTTGAAGAAACCAACATGGGCCAAAAGGACCCTGTCCTCAACATATTGGAGATCGTGCTCTGATCACTGATTGCTCCTTCTGATTATAGAGGTGCAGACAAAGAGGCAGGCAGGCACTGATATTGCACATCCCCACCACTTGTTACAAGCCCCTCCCCCTCTGGCTGAAGTAATTTCCAGGGGACTTAAAGGCCATTTCCCTTTCCCCCTTCATCTTTTTGTTTTTTCCCCTTTTGGGAGCCAGATGTTAAAGACTAGGACATTCAAAAATAACAGCATAAATGGGGAAAATTAGAGAGTGACCACACATGCTGAGGGAAAGGGTCAGAGTAGATCTAAGCAGACCTTATGTTTACAACTCAGGTTGATCCTCAGCACAGAGACAATCTGTAATGATCAAAAAATAAAACAAACAAAAATAACAACAAAAAGCAGCAAACCCCGGGAAAGGGGGTAAATCTGATTTTCAGAGTTACAACATTCTTAGATTCAAATGTCCAGTATTCAATTAAAAACAAAAATCAGAAGGCATACAAAGAAATAGGGGAATATGGCCCAGTCAAAAAAAAAAAACAGAGATCAACAGAAACTCCCTGAAAAAGATCTATTAGACAAAGACTTCAAAATAACTGTCTTCAAGATGCTCAAAGTATCAATACTAAAGGAAGATGTGGAGAAAGTCAAGAAATTAATGGGTAAACAAAATGGAAATATCAGTAAGGAGATTAAAAAAAAACTAAAAAGAAACCAGAAAGAAATTCTGGAACTACAATCACTATAATGAAAAATTCACTAGAGGAATTCAACGGTAGATCTGAGCTGGCAGAGGAAAGAATCAGTGAACTTGAAGATAGCACAATGGAAATTATCAAGTCTGAACAACACAAAGAAAAAAGATTGAGTCTAAGAAAAAGAAGAGAAAGAAAAAGGGAAAGAGAGAATACTTAAAGAAATTACCACTGATAATTTCCCAAATCTGATGAAGGACATGAATATGAACAGCCAAGAAGCTCAACGAACTCCAAATAAGGTGAACTCAAAAGACACCCACACTGAGACACACGTTATAATCAAACTTTCAAAAGACAAAGAGACTATCTTGAAAATAGGAAGAGAGAAGGAAATCATCACATATAAGGGATCTTCAATACAATTATCAGCAGATTTCTACTAAGAAACTTAGGCCAGAAGATAGTGAGAGGATACACTGAAAGTGCTAAAAGAAAAATAGCTGTCAACCAACAATCCTGTATCTGGCAAACTATCCTTCAAAAGTGAGGGAGAAATAAAGACATTCCCAGGAAACAAAAGGTAATGGAGTCTGTGATCACTCGATCTACCCTACAAAAAATGCTAAACACTGTCCTGCAGGGTGAGAGGTAAGGACACTATCCAGCAACTCAAAGCTGCATGGAAAACTAAGATCTCAATGAAGGTAAATAAATGGGCAATTATAAAAGCTAGTATTATTGAAACAGTGATTTGTAACTGTATTCTTTGTTTTTATATAATTTAAGAGATTTAAAGAAAAAAAATTGTTCAGGTAAAAACTAGTATTACTGTTACTTTGGTTTGTAATTCCAAATCTTGTTTGATACATAATTTGAGACTAATGCATCTAAAACAACTATTAGCTTATGTTTGGGGGCAAACATTGTGTAAATGTAATTTTGTGACATCAGCAACCAAAAGGAATAGGGACAGAGCCATAAAAAAGAAGAGTTTTTGTGTGTTATTGATATTAAAGTGGTATAAATTCAAATTAGAATGTTATAACTTTAGAATGTTAAATGTAATGCCAATGGTAGCCACAAAGAAAATATCTACAGAATGTATACAAAAGAGTATGATAAAGGGGACATCCTTGCCAGTCCAGTGGCTAAGACTCCACGCTCCCAGTGCAGGGGGCCCGGGTTCAATCCCTGGTCAGGGAACTAGAACCCGCATGCTGCAACTAAAAGATCCTGCATGCTGCAACTAAGACCCAGTAGAGCCAAATAAATAAATAAACAAATATTACAAAATAAATAAATAAATAATGAAATGCTCATTATAAAAAAAAGAATATGATAAAGGAATTTAAATCACCACAATGAGAAGCCCATGCACTGCTACGAAGCGCAGCCCCCGCTCGCCACAACTAGATAAAGCCCATGTGCAGCAACAAAGACCCAAAACAGCCAAAAACTAAATAAATTAAAAAAAAAAAACTTCTGTTTTAAGGCATAAAGAAAACAAATAGAACAGTAAAAGAAGTAAATTCCTCTTTAGGAGTAATTACTTTCAATGTAAATGGATTAAAGTTGCCATTCAAAAGACACGAGACTGAATGGTGCTGATGAATGAGTGGTAGGGCAGGAATAAAGATGCAGATGTTGAGAATGGACTTGAGGACACAGGGCAGGAAGTGGAGACTGGGACATAGTGACAGAGTAGCACTGACATATATACACTACCAAATGTAAAACAGATAGCTAGTGGGAAGCAGCTACATAGTACAGGGAGATCAGCTCCGTGCTTTGTGAAGACCTAGAGGGGTGGGACAGGTAGGGTGGGAGGAAGGCTCAAAAGGAATGGGATATGGAGATATATGTATGCATATAGCTGATTCACTGTGTTGTACAGCAGAAACTAACACAACATGGTAAAGCAATTATACTCCAATCATGATATATAAAAAAAAAAAAAAAAAAGAAAAGAGATTGGCAGAATGGATACAAACTCAGGATCCAACTATTATATACTGTCTACCTGATGTCCAAGGACACAAACAGGTTGAAACTGAAAGCAGAGGGAAAGATACTCCATGCAAAGAGTAACTCAAAGAGAGCAGAGGCTGACATACAAATATCAGACGAGATAGGCTTTCAGCCAAAAAAGGTTATATGGAACAAAGAAGGACATCATATATTTTAAAAGGTACAGGGGGCAGAGTCAAGATGGCATACTAGGAGGACGCGGAATTCGCGTCTACACACAACTAGGGCACCTACCAGGCACCGGCGGGGGACCACAGACACCTAAAGGGATGGGAGGAACCCCCAGTGAGTGGGTAGGATGTGGGGCTTGGGGGGAGTGATGGGAGAGAAGAAGTGGAGGCAGGAGGGGCCTGATGTCCCTGAGGGGCAGCTGGGGGAGGGGAAGGGATCCCCACACCCGAAGGGGGAAATTGGGGAACCATTGGGAGGGCAGAGGATCAAAAGGGAGCATGGCCAGGTTTCTCCTGCCCACTTGGGCCCCCAGGGACCTGCTGAGATGCCAGGCCTGATCCTCTGTCCACCAAGGCCCCTTCCAGCTGCGTGGGTCCTGAGGGAGTGGGAAGGAGGGAAGGGGGAGCAAAAGTAAAGGCTGGACCTCCGGGACTGGCACCCCTGAGGGGTGGATGGGGGAGGGAAGGAGTTCCTACACCCAGTGGGACCCACCCACGGTTAGGGGTCCAGCAGCAATGGGGGAGACCCTAGGGGAGATGGTGGGGAAGGGGGCATGAAGGAATGGAAGGGAATGCAGTCTGTGCCTTCCCTGTCCACTTAGGTACGAGGAAGCCTGTTAGGCCCCAGGCCTAATCCTCTGCCCTCAGAGCCTCTCTCCTGCCACGCAAAACCCAAGCTCCACCCCTACACCCCAACCCAGGGCCCTACGTGTACACTCAGAGAACCCCCTCTGAGACCCCTTCCAATGCACTGGGCCTAAACTCCACCCACACACCCTCACTCAGGGCCCTACCTCCAAACTCCCTAACTCCACACTCCAGAGGCCCTCCTTTCCATGTGCTGCCTCTCCACTTCCACACAG